AAAATCATATACAATTGTCATTACATTCATCTTAAAAAACTCATCGCTCATATATCCCTTGCCCACATAAATCCCCACTCTTAGTGAGTACAAATTTATCGGACTCAAAAATTAACCTAAAACTCTTCTTACTCAACAACAATCCAGACACAAGATTCTTTCGAATTTCTGAAACATGTAACACATCATTTAGAGTAAGTTTTTTTCCGAAAGTCATCTTCAATATAACCTTCCATTTGCCTTCAACTTTAGAAGTTGAGGAATTTTTCATGAAGAGTTGTTCTCCATTATTCATTGTTTCATATGCAGAGAACATCTTCTTATCTGAACATATGTGTCTAGTGGCCCCGATGTCCACCCACTATTTCTTGGTATTTTTCACCAAGTTCACTTCGGATACTATAGCAAAAAAACTTATGTTAGAAACATTTTCAGAAAATTTTTCTACCTCGGTTATATTGGCTTGGACAGTCCTCCTCTTGTGGTTCCCTTGTACTTTACGGCTTCGACAATCCTTTGCACGATGCCCTGGTTTATTGCACACAAAGCAATTGTCTTTGAACCTTTTGAAATCAACACCCTTGGCCCTTTGCTGGCCAACATACTTCCTTTTCTTATTGGTTTTATGTCCCTCTTCAATCACATGTGTCTTTGACTCAATGGAATGATTGTCAACTTTCTTTTTGGAAACTCTATTGTCCTCCCCAATCATCAATCTCACGATCAAGTTTTCAAGTTTCATTTCTTTGCATTTGTGCTTCAAATAATTTTTGAAAATTTTTCAATTTGACGGTAATTTCTCAATAATTGCAGCCACTTAAAAAGATTCACTAAGCATCATCCTTTCGGCATGAATCTCATGTAGGATTACTTGAAAATCTTGAAATTGACTTATGATAGTTTTAGAATCCACTATTTTGTATTCAAGGAATTTGCCCACAACAAATTTCTTCATTCTGACATCTTCTGTCTTGTATTTTCTATCCAAGGATTCCCACAGCTCTCTAGCCGTCTTGATTGGACTATACATATTATATAATGTGTTATCCAATCCATTGAAGATATAATTTTTGCACAGAAAATCAGAGTGTTTTCATGCATCCACCGCAACAACAACTTGACAGTCAGTCTCATTCTCACTACAAACAGGAGTATCCTCACGAAGAAACCTTACAAAATTCAATGTAGTGAGATAGAACAACATTATATGTTGCCATCTCTTGAAGTCGTTTCCCATTGAACTTTTCAAGTTTTTTCCCATGAGACACATGAGTAGGAACAGAAATAGGCATCACAGGCACAACATGATTTGTAGTAACAGGAATATTATTATCATTTGCAGCCATTTTCGATAAACAAAGATTACAAACTATTCAAAATAGAAAAATAATAACACTTTTCAAAGCAAGTTATTAAAATAGATTCGGTGTCGCTGTTTCAAAGTTACTAGTTTAACGTTTTTGTATGGTATCACTGTTTAGTGTAACTGTTTAAATCATACACAGAAACAAAGTCATTATTTATAGTAACTGTAACAGTTTGAAGTAACTGTTTGAATTTAAGCACAAAAAACAGAATATGCAATTTTTTTTTCCACAAATTTTCAAGTCTTTTCAAAATATTACAGATTGTAAACAAAATAGGTTTTAACAATTTGCAATATTTTAGAACAATCTAAAATTAAAATATATATCAAAAACACAATAAGCAACTATACAACTTCAAAAATCTGTCTTAAGATTGTTGGATGTGGTGTTCCAAATATAGTAGAATCACTTATTGAAGTTTCTGATTTGAAATATGTAAAACAGTAACAAGCAAGTATGAAACACGAAAGAGTTACAACAAATAGTAACACGTAACTGTTTGATTAAACAAAATAAAAACTAACCCGGTTGCAGAACATAAATTGTTATTGAACTTTAGGTAGATCAAGGCTAGTATTTGACACTATGTCCTTAAGACAAATTTTGCCTCGACACACGGTGCTTATGAAATACCGAGCGTCTGTCTCCTAGGATATAATGATTTTTACATGAATAGAAGTAGCACTCCAATCTGCTCGTTGAGCGAACCAAAATCGTGTTGTGTATTCTCTCTAAATGCACTGTGTTAATGCCAAAATGCAGACTGTTTAATGCCTTAATGGACTGATGAATTGAATGCAATTAATGGAAATGAGCTTGGGTATTTATAGACCAATTGGTAACTTTTCGTACAGTCACCTTACTAAAGGACATAACCCAGAATGACAAGACATAACAACTAGTAGACACCTTGGGTAACTATTCTTCATGAACAGACACATCTTAAAAATTTCAGACTGGACTCTTTTTCGGATCGGAGGGATGCCCAAATTCGAACCAGTGCGATTTAAAGGATACCAAAAAATTTATTTCAGGTTAAGAAATTCTCGCCCATTAGGGCTTGGTCTAAACCACACCCACACCTACACCCCCACCCGAGCCCGAGCCTGAGCCCGAGCCTGGTCGGGTCGTGGTCGTGGTCGAGGTGAGGCGGGCGGCGCGCGCGCGTGTGGTTGAACCGAAGGCATATAGGTGCTCACTCCGCTCATAAAACTATGGTACCCCTTGGAGGCCTAATTTAGTCTATATATGCCCATGTTGAATTTTTTCCTCAACCATTGCAATTCCTTTATTTTCATGTTTCAAAAGGGTCACTTTGGAGCCTATTATTTGAGCAAGTGAATATACCATGTTATTCTAATCACGGAGTAAAATATGAACCCACGAAATTTTATAAAAAATAATAATCGCATCCCACTTTAATTTATGCTCAAAGTCGACCAAAAACTCAGTTTTTATTCTGAAAAAACTGTTTTGATCCAACAATAATCAGTATCTAGAAAGGAGCCTAACCCACCAAGCGCAAGACGGAATCAAGAAGCCAACGCCCAAGAGGGGACCAAGGGGCGCAGTCCAATGGGTCACCCAAGCCTAGGCGTCGCCCAAGAGCTGGTCCTTGTTCCTCCTTCGCCCTCTCCTCTTTGCCACTCCAACTCATGTCCAGGCCACTCAAGTCTAACCCAGCTTAAGACCTTTGTCGGACAGAATAAGAGCACGAGGGAAAAAATATCGAGATACTCTCGAAGATCTAATCTTACCTTATTTATATTTATCAAAATAGTAGAAGTCATCTCCCTCATGTCACCGCCTTACCAAAACCTATTTAATATAAATCAACTCTACATAAAGGGCATCATCTAAAAAACCTCTACACATATTGCTCATCTCTCTCAAAGCATTGTAATTCCCCAAGAGAATACTCTCTCAGTGACTCTTATTCATCAATAAAGATCTCTGGCCACCGCCACCATTCCCAAGAGTGGAGTAGGTCACCCGGATTGAACCACTATAAATTTTGGTGTTGATTCCTTATTTATTGTTTTGTCATTGATTCCCTATTTACTGCTCATTAATTGTGCCTCTTGATATACTCGACTATTGATTTTGCACAATACCAATTTGTGCATCATCAACTGTTACAACCTATTTGTTGTCGCACGCAGAGAGAGAGAGAAGTATTTTTTTAGCAAGTATAAAGTTTAAGTGTTCAGTAGGAAGACAACTTCCTGTTTCATTCAATTCAATCAAAACCACGCCCAAATAACACAAAAATCCAGCCACATTTTAGCCAAAAAAACAAACAGCCTAGTGCAGGACGCCAACCGCCATTACGGAACTTGGAACGGAGTAGGTGCTTGCCGCCTTATCTCTGTAAGTTGAGAGGTTATTTCCACGACTAGAACCCTTGATGTTTTGATCACAAGGAGCAACTTTACTATTGTACCACAACCATATATGAAGAAACTAGTCCATTGGCCCACATATGAAGATAACACACCAAACTTGTATTTAACCTCCTTAAAGTGAAATCAATGCAAAACCAGAGCCTCCCAAGCTACCAGTAAGTTTTAGGGCATCTGTGCCTGCTTTGTTTCAAACAACACATTACATACATGAATTCCAACAATAATGTCATGCTTTTCCTACAAGGTTTCTTTGTCTAACACAATGTTTAATCGATATTCATACCATGAATCTTCTTTCCTACTATACATTTCCTCATTGAACAAATGGAGAAAAAAATTAGCCATAGAATCACAGATATTATAGCTAATCTAGGAACTTGCTTTTTCTGTACTGTACTTGGCCTGATTCTCACTAGCAAGAGTAAGGATTCCAAGAAAACGTATTAACGTACCAAGCTATTTTATTTACATTTTTCTAGTTGTCCATTGATTGCTTGATAAAACTTTTTAGCTAGACATCCATTTTTCCATTCAAAATATGAGATCCTACGCATTTTGCAGCCAAAAGTAGTGCAGAGAAAAAAAATAAGAAAATCAAAGGAAGTTACATGAACCAAAAGCGAAAACAAACCAAGAATAGGAGAAAACATGCATTTGGTAAGAGCCATGTGATGCATTTCGTACTGGAAAGCTCTTCAGAAATGGAGGGGCAACCACTGCATCTGCGTTGCCAACTGTGTATTTTACAGCTATATGAACCTGGTAAAGTTGAATGAGTGAGCAGACCCTCGCAAGATTTAGGATCCATGCTACCATAAGAGGCAAAGGGCAACGCTTGAGTGCCTAAACAGCAAGCATGGTGTTCACATGTTCACTAGCATATTTTCTCTTGCAACTAGAAATAATTAAGAAAAAGGAAATCTTAGATACATAGATAACGGGTGCAAGAAAACAAATCACCTGTGTTCAATTCATCCTTTCTTTCAATGGTGACAATCGAAGTAGACAAGAGCCTTTGTCGTTTTCCACAACACAATATATTGCAACTTGTGGCTTTTTTTAGCCAAATTTAAGTTCGTGCATTCACTAGACAAATAGGATTCCATTTAAATAAATGATGAATACAGATAAACTAATCTGTTGAGAAATGCAATCTCAACGATTAATTTACAAAATATGACCTTCAAATTGATTCTTTTCATTACTCGAGAGAATCTTTATATATGCTGTTGTGGATAACAAAATTTGGCATCTAATTCACTCTAATGGAAACTTGTGCAATTCAGTCAAAAGAATTGGATACAATAACTTTCCAGCCTTGAGACAACAAATAAGTACTTAGTAACAATCGGGGCAACAAATTACAAAATAATGGAACACTCCAGCAATAATAAAGGAATACTAGCATCTTAATTCATCTGTAAATAACTAAACTGGAAGTTCCCATAACTGTAGTACAGTAAATCACAGATACACAAACCTTATCCTTAGATTTGCAACTTCAACTCCTATATACTTTGGGTCGGAGGGTGGGACTACATGTATGTATGACTGCCACTGCAATCGAGAAAGATTGTAAAGCCGATAGAGTTGACTGGAAATGAACGTAATGCAAACCATCATGGATATTTGCCATTTTCATGATAGGTGTATTTTGCTTTGAACCCTGCAAAAAAAAGAGAAGTTGATCTAAGATCACCCCAATGTGTTATTGTAATAGGACAAGGTACCTGATGTTCAAAAAAAAAAACAGAAAAAGGATGGAAAACTTCTAAGTTTGAAACAAAGCCTCACTAACTTCATCAGTAACAGTTGAATTTACCAATCAACGTCAGAGGACAAAGAAAAATAGAGAGCTTGTCACTTTACAAACCTGTATGCAGAGATCAACTGTCCTGCACTCTCCAGGAATCTCTGTTTGAGGTGAAACTCCCATTCTGCTTGGCCTAGTGTTGAGTACCGTCAGTGGGCAACCTATGTCCCAGCCCCCGCAGTCACAGTGCCCACCAGAGTTCCATCTCTCAATGAGGCTTGAAGGGCCACCATATCTGGTTCTTGGCCCACCATGGAAACCTGCTGGAACTATAATATCCATACTTGTCGAGCAATCGCCACTGTCTCGTCGACAACATTCAGAAGGTTCTGAGGTATCTAGAGATGCATTGGTTTGCTTGATCCCGGCTTTCTTGAGAAACTTTAAGCCCCATCCTCCAAGTTCTGCATCCTTACGATTGTCATGGATGTGGTCCTTAACAATTATGGCAGCCAACTCACAATTTGGAGGAAGATGTTTATCTGAAAGATTGGCCCTAACTGGATCACACTTGTTGCGTGAATCTTGGCACAACTCCCAAGTAGAATTTTCAAGTATGGCACTTGTTCCCCAAAATTTGGAGGGAGTTCTCTGTTTATAAGATTGATTTTTCCTAAATACATCCACCATCTTCTTCGACAACCCTTTGTTCTTCATATGGGTATGGCTTGAAGTTTGAATCTCTCCCGCGCTGTAATTATCGGAACCAAACAGAACAAACTGAGTCTCCATCACTTGTGAGTTGTTTGGACAGAGTGTAATAGAGGTTGATACTCTCATTTTAGCAACAAGATCTGATTCATCCTCATGTATCGCACATTTCTTTTTGCTACCTGCTCTTGAATGAAAATTGTACATATAATCCAAAACCTTATCATCGGATGATTCAACCTTACACATTTCGGCTACATAAACCTCCCTGTGATCATCTAAAGAGAATATATAATTTGGAAGCCCATCCTTCCATGTACACTGGAGCATTCCCAGAGAAACAGTAGCAGATGCAGAATAAGACTGATTTGAGCAGGATGAGATTGTGCTTGACACAGAAACAAGCCTTTTGTGTACAGGCTCAGATCCATATCTATGGTCTCCAAGCACCGCCATTTCCTTTTGCAGCTTTTGCGAGGAACTGATACTTAACCCATAAGAAGAGCTCATAAAATCAGAATGCAGTAGTTCTTTGTCATCGATAAAACTTGTTCCTCCAAACTTGACATCACAATCTGAGGCACCAATTTGGTGAAATAGAGGGCTCTTAAGAATATTTAGCATACTCTTGCTCCCAGTGATTGTACCTAGAATCCAATCTCCTGTAGAGCTTATGGCAACATTGTCAGTCTCAGCTGACAAAGAGCATCCAATACCCAAACTAACCAAATCACACCTATCTCTACTAGTAATTTCTTTTGAACAAACACTCATCTCAGGGTAGATATTGAATGAGGCAGCTCTCAACGCACTGATATGTATCATTTCCAGGCAACGACGAAGGTATTTTTCATCGAAACTCATTATACGCTTGGGAAACCTATTGTCTATGCCACGAATACCTTTAAGAAACAGTTCCTGTTTGCAAAGTTCACCACTTTGAGACTTCCTTCCATTTAATATCAGGACATTCTTTGGCTCTACCTTTCTTACTAATCTTTTAGACAGACCATGATCCTCACTGTGATCTTCTTTTTCTTTGCCATCTTTCTCTGCATTGACAATTAAATTCTCCATCTTCTGCCTCCAGCAAGTTGGTTGTTAAAGGCCAGAGAAAGTTCTTCTATCTTCTACCCCTAGTTGTAAACAAACTCAAACATGGCAGACTATACAGAACTGGCCTGAGTATCTTGTGGTCAAGTCTCACAGGCGATCTGGAAAGAAAGTGACATAAATAGTTAGCAGCACCCCCCGCAGAAGGAACTTAATATAAACAGGTAAAAATCACAGCATTTAAATGGAATTGTCATTAGTACAAAAAATTCTAAGAAAAATGTGGGAACAAGTAAACGCTAGAAGTTCGCGAGTTATTATAACGGGGAGGTTGTCTTCCGAAGTGAATACACAACCGCAGCCCAATCTTTTTACCTTTATGATCAACATATTGATGTAAGTGCTCAGGTAGTTATAAAATAGATGAGTATCACCGGCATGAAGCAACGTAAAAGGGAACCTCTGCCAAAAAGTTAAATACAAAACTTAAACTGATCTTTTCAGTACTTTGATTCCTTAACTCTTATAAGTGACGATCAAAGGCTATTCACCAGTAACATAAACATAAAAAAGAGAAATTTGGTGACATATTCTTCTCCCTGGAGTCGATGTTTCAATATCAATGGTTATTTTAGAAAGAAGAATTGATGAATTTGTGTTCATCTGCTCGCATTAAACACAATATTTCATAAAGGAAGTTCAATTCCATCGTCAGAAGAGAGAATAAACACCTCCAAGTTGCTTCTTGTGGTTTTATCATTTACCTTAAACAAGTGATGGATCTTTATGATCTTATGCAGTGACTTGAACATCAGAATCAATATGACATTAACAAAAACCATGTCGTCTCCTAAAAGAGCATAACTACTTCTCAGAGAGAAAAATATGTACACAGCTTGCAGATTCTGAATAGAGCCTAAAAGATCATATGGACTTGCATAATGTAACAAATAGTAAATACAACGGTTACAGTGAGTACTATAGAAATGCTTTGGTTTTTTGGTGGTAATCCCAATTTAAACCATTGAAATATAACAGGATCATAAGATACATCAGAGAACTCTCAATCATTTGAATCACCTACGCAAGTGTGTGCATCACACAGAGCTAACTATGTGACAGAAACCGAAAAATTGAATTGCTTAGCATTTATAGATTGTATCAATCAAACTAACCACAAAAAATATGATAATTTGTACACATACGGGAAACAGAAAAGCACAAAACATGCCCAAACAATCCTATCACTTTCTTATCACCTCCAAAAGGAAATTAAACAACCATGAAAAGCAGACACCCAAACTTAGAAGCCAATCAATCCACAAATATCATATTCATAAACAAACACAACAACTTTACATATACTAAAAATAAAAATTTCAACTTTTTCTTACCTGGGGATCAAAGAATCAAACCCACAAGAACCCAGTACCCAGAGCAAGTTCCACCTGACTTTTGATTTGAAACAGCAGAAACCCAATACAGAAAAACTTCTTAATACCCAATTCAAAGGCTAACCAAAAAACATAGAAAATAATAGCAAACAAAGATAAGGGAGACTATTGAGAGCTAAAAGTCAATAAGGAACAAAGAAAAAACGGGTTAAAAGAACGAAGCCTTTACCAACTTGCACATGGAAGGAATACGCGCCGCAACAACAACAACCAACTGTTGTTGAAACACAATTCTAGAGAGAGAAAAAGCAAAACTAACAGAAAACGGATGGCGTAATGTAGTAGTATTGAAAAACTTAGTCGCCTTCAAACATTAAATTCCGGGTATATGGGAGTAGGTCCTACTTCTCCGAAATCTTCAACATCCCTGGTCCAATCAAACCCTAATTGTAAACTGATGTGCATCAGTTATGTTTATGGATGCAGAGAGAGAGCGAGAGAGAGAGAGAGAGAGAGAGAGAGAGAAGAACGAGCTGGCTGACACGACAGGAACAGGGCTATCCAACTACGGTCCACTAAGGCCACCTACATAGGCAAACACATAAAACTGACACATTCAACTAGAAAACAACGACCGAAAGCTTACATAGCGGGACCCTTCATTCCTCAACCCACGATTTCTTAACATGTGACCTCTCTATAAAAAATAATAATAATAAAGTAAAATATGCATATACAAATTTATAATAAAAAATAAGATAGACCACAATAAATTCATTTTATTATTTCTCAATCACATTCACATTATACTGTATCTTCAAATACGAATTGCTCCTAATAAATATACATACATCGGTCATAGATAGTGTAGGGAGGGTCATTGAGCTTTTTTTTATTAGAGGAACATAAACATCCCAAGGGGTAGAGATCTGTTTATATACTTTTTCGTATTATTAATAAAGAGAGAAATAGAGGGAGAGAGAATGTCCTATCTTAATAAAAATTAATGGTTTATTCCGTTTCTCTTACGTCTCTTTTTCCTAATCATTTTTTTTTCATATTTCGAAGGATGAAGTCGGGATTTTATTTTAAGAGAGCCAAATAGTAGCATAACATATATATTTATTCAATATGGGTCACTCAATAATTGATCTTATAATGTAGGATTTTAGATGAAGAAGCCTTCTATGTACCTTAAGAAGTCCTATATTTCTCATTTATATCTTAGAATTTTGTATTATTAAATCAAAAACCAAATGGTCTTTCCAACCATATTAGACCACTTCACCCTCGTAACAACCCATCTCCTCTACCACTAACTACCCCCACCATATATTACAATTTATCTAAGAATTTTGTTTTACTGCCCACAAATTTTTTAACAATTCCATATCTAGTTTCTCAAATGGTGTTACTAAAAAAGGGAAAGCATAAGAGGGGGAAAGGATAAGGAAGTAAGATAGAACACAAAATAATGAATAGAAAATTATCAATAAGTGTTATTTTTTTGGGTTAATTGTAAATTGTATCCTAAAAGATCGTTCGAATCTTAATTTGTATCTCCAAAGATAAAAAATCTCAATTTGCACCATCAAAGATATAAATTTATATCAATGTGCATATCTAAAAATCAAAAATCTCAATTTGTACCCTCAAAAATAGAAATTTATATTAATGTGCACCCCCAAAAATCAAAAATCTTAATTTACACCCTCAAAGATAGAAATTTATATCAATGTGTACTTAAAACTAACTGTCGTCAATTTACTGTTTAAAATTAAATTGATAAATTATACCTAGATCCCATCAGGCTTGTCACTTTATCATTTGGACCCCTTCACAAAATAAATGATAATATAAAATTATAATTTTTTATTAGGATAAAATCATATTTTTAACGGTTATAAAATCCTAATAAAAATACTCTCAATCTAAAATGTCCCCCCCCCAATTGGGCATTGAAATAATTATATTTAAGTGATACATTGTATTAGATATAAAAAATATTATATAAATACCTACATTCTATTGGACATTCAAATGATAAATTTGATTTTAAACTTTAGAGTATATTGAACCCACAAAATAAAGGGTAATTTGAAATTTTACCCTTCTAATCTCTTTACTGATATTACAACACTGAGTGCACGGTGGAGACTTTTCAATTGTCATTTGTTCCCCTGCTCAACTACGGTGACAGGTTTGTTTCCGACAACAACTTCTAATTTTCACTTCGATTAAAGTATTATTAATATATTGCAGATTCTATAGAAACATTGTCTTCATGGTTTGGGGTTATCGTACAAATTTAGATTGAATTTAACATAATTGGTTCTCTTAGTTGAATTTTTTTTGTCCTTTTGTCCTCACTTTTCGCTCGTTGAAAAATTATTGGAGTTAAGGGTAAATTAAAACACAAGAAGATAAAATATTTATGAATAAAAAAAATTATTGTTATAGCCTATATTTTTCAAAAGAATGATAAAATTAGAATAAAATATAATATTTATGAAGTTTAGGACTTCATTGACATAAAATATCAAAAATAAGACTTCAATGATATAAAATAAAAAAGATATAACTTAATGATTTTTTTTGAAAAATAATTATACTTATTGATAATTTTTTCAATAAAAAAATTATAAATCTCGTGGGTTGCATTGGTAGGGCAGCAATTATAATTCTCCCTTAACTAATTTTTCAATGTTCAAAGATGCGTATCTACAAAGGTCAGTGAAAAAATCGCGTTTCCGGTATTTATGGTTTTGTATCATTCAAAATTTAGGAGGTGGGACCCAATGAAATCTTAAAATAGACAATTACAGTTGGGTGAACCCTAGTTTAGAAATAATGATTGATGGATACACAATTGGCTATTATAAGAATAAGAAAAGTCCGACCAACGACCCCTGGAAAAATGGACAAGCCCTTTTGTTGTTTTGTAGGTCTAAATAGTCCTCATTTTGAAGTTATCTACCACTCTAAGCTCCTATCAGACTATTAGTAAAATGTTTTGGAAGATCTTTGCACATGGGTTTAAATCATTTCAAATGGTAAGGACAAAAAGTCAAATAACCTTATGTACCCTTGGGTATGTACCCTCTTGATTTCAATTACTTTTCAAATTCGAGGTATTTGAATTTGTCACGTCGCTAAACTTAAAGATGTCAATGATTTTAAGAATGCAATGTTATTTTCATGTGAAGTTGTTGTTGTATAGGTAACATATGTTACACGGCTCACACCCTTTTCAAGATAAAAAAGTTTGTGTTGTCGATCTCTTGTCTGTCAGCAAACAATTTCAAGAATGGATAAAGGTGAATAGACCGTCTCATCTCTTTTTTAACAACTGAGTCAATTTTAATCATCGACAAAATTGATGTCTAAAAATTAGATAAATTAGAATTCGGAGAGATCTGATTTTTATTCAAAAAATTAACCATGATTGTTATAATCACTATGCCTAATTGCACCTTTCTTTTTCGCCTTTGAATTAATCTAAGAAGTAATTGAAATGCCTTTATATTTGGAATCTGGAATGTAACCCTCACTTTCAAGAGCTCCCTACTAACAATTTACCAAGAAAATTCGTGATGTTTTCACTTTGAACAATTCTTCTTTTAGAAGTGTGAAATGGGTATTTTGAAGAAAAGAGTAAAATAAAGTTGAATGATCCTGCTATAGTTGATTGGCTGAAGGTTGTCTCTCAAGCCATTGTTGTTGAATTAGTAGCGAGTTTTTATCTTGCTCAAAAAAAAAAGTAGTGAGTTTCAATATTAAGATTTAGGTCTATTTGTTCGATCAATCATCAAAGACAAGAGGAACCACTACAACGAGACCCCCCCTTCCCGCTTTGATTCTTTTTGCATAGTTAAGGGGCCGACCATAGTGGGCATAAGTGTGCTTTCGCCTGGTGCCATTCCTAGACCTAGCAATAGACGGGTAAGGCGTGCTTGAATTCAGACCGGACCAGACTCTTTTTTTGTTTAAGTTGCTACCATGCACACAAATTGAAAGATCTCACTTGTCCTGGACCGAACAAGTATGTAGAGATCTCTGTGGGATTGTGGCAGGAGTCTCGATCAATCTTTTTCAGGATTTCTTATTACGTCACACATAGAGATCTTTCCATTGATAAATAAGAGGGTTCTCTATTGAACAGACTCTTAAAGGTTAGGTTAGTACTTGTCTTCATACTTAAGAGCCTTACTAGTTTAAATAATTAAAGATCTTCCGTAACTCTAATCTTCGTTTGGTATGATAAAAAAATTGAAGGACGAAAAGTTAGAGGGATAAATAAAAGATTATGTTTGATAAGGAATGATGAAAAAGTAAATGGATAAACTTTTCTTCTAACTCATCAAAATTAATCCCTCCAAAATTGAAATGAAAGTAAATAGAAAGTTAATTATTTGTGTTGAGATGAATCTTATTTGTGTATATATATATATACTATGTATACATTAATTTCATATACAAATATATTGATAAAATATGTATTTATATATATAAATTTTTAAAAATTTTAAATTAAAAAAATATTTTTTCATGAAAATTTTTGACTCAACACGATGACACAACTTGAACTTGACTTGAATTTTATGACACGAACTTGATTAATTCAAATACGAACACGGCACAAAAATAAACATGTCAACTTATAACTCAACACGACATGACATAATTAGTTAAATGAGTTGAGTTAGGTGTGACTAATGTTCGATATAAACCCGTAATGACTCAACATGAATCTGACACGACATGACTTGATTGACACCCCTAATCATAGCCAGTAAAAAAAAAATTAGTCATTTTTATTTTTTATCCATCCAACTAAATACCAAGGGTGTGTTTGGATAGTGGGTTAAGGTGAGTTAACACCATAAGGATAAGTTATTAAGACAATGAGTCCCATAAATCCTTTGTTTGGGAAGCATTTTTTGAGATCGGATAACAATCCTTGGTCAAACCTTGACCCGGTTGCTACAGTACAAATTACCCCTCCTACATGGGTTATAGTTAACCCACCTCCCCCCTGGGTTTAAATCCTAACCAACTGGACAAACTGAGTAATTACTTGTCTACCCCTCTATTTCTTTCTTCTTTTCAAGGCTGTGCAGGCGATGAAGACACTGTTGATCTTTGGTATCTCTGTTTCTCTCTCTCTTTGAACCAAGATGGAAGCAGATATAACTCACTGTGGAGATCCAGATTTGCTTCAATCTCATGGTCGATGGAGATCCAGATCTATTTGCCCCTCTCTTCTCCTGTTACTCTCGTCCAAGCATTACTGTGGGAGCTTGTCCAAGGGCTGTTGCACAGAGGCGAAGAAGAAAACGAAAAATGAAAAGCCTTTGTGTATCGAAGCTTGCTTGATGAAGTACTCGATCAAAAAAATTTTTTGCTTTTGTTCAATATCCATCTTTCAAATTTTTTGTAGATACACAGACAATATATGTGTGTGTGTGTGTGTGAATAAAACTAAATTTTGACCGGGTGCTTTGTTGAAGCGGAGAGACAAAGTTGAAGCTTATGAGAGGTGCAGACTATCAATGGCAGACGGATGGTTCTCCTGAGTTTGAGGGATTTGAGAGAATTACACTTAGATCCCTTGAAATTTGTCATTTAATTATTCAAACCTTTGATATTTAAAATATTAAACACAAATTCCCTCAAATTTATATGCGCGCAATACTTAGACCTTTTAAATTTAAAATATTATACTTAAACAAAAAATACTTCAATCAAATATAGAATATCAAATATTATTTTACAATCAAAATTCATATTCTATTGTATTATTTATTAAAATGAAATTAAAAATAAAAATTTAATTTTTTATTAAAAAATCGTAATTAGTATATAATTATACTATTTATTGAAATAAAACTAAAAAAATTAAACAAGGGGTTTAAATCATATATAATTTTTATATGTTTTTAAGTATATGTGAAAAATGTATAATTTTATTAGAATAATCCATCGGTCGAAACATATTTAAGGCAAATGTTGTTTGCCTTTGTCCCATTGTAATCAATTTTTAAGAAATGAAATAAAATGTAGATTTGTTTGGAAAAGTAAAATACCAATATATATATATATATATTTAAATTTTCTTATTTTTATATGTTTTTATGTATATGTGGAAAATATAGAATTTTATTTGGCTTGGATGGGTACACCAAACATAGGATATGATTGGATTGGAATGGATAGAGTAATGGGTAAAATGGTAAATTACTACAAAATTATTTGTATAATTTATGGGGTCCATTGAATTATACATTTGTTTCCCAAACAAAGGTTAGGATTGGATATAATCTTAGGTTAGGGTTTTAAAGTGTATGAGTGGTTTGACTTGGATGAGTTAGAATATAAAAAAAAATATCCTATCCTATCATATCCTACTCCATTACCCAAACGCACCCCAAGGAATGAAAGTGTATAATTCTTGTTTTCCTTCCTTAATGGATAGAAAGTGTATCCCTCTTATTTTTCATCATTTTTATTTTTCATCATTTCTACCAAACGGAGCATAAGTATTGGTGATAGGTGAACATATGACTAAATGTTAGTAAAGTCTCAAATCCCTTAAAAATATGCCAAAGAGCAAATTGCGAGAAAAAAACACAATATGATCAAATTTTAAAATGTGACAAAAAATAAATTGATAAGTATCAATTGCACTTAAATTCAATCCAATGTCATTAGCTACTTAAAACTTAATAGCATTATTTTAGCCCTAAAAGTCATAGAATTAACAACAAAGACAACTTGACTTTCTTCAACTTGCACCTCTAGCAAGCCAAATGCCAGAGTTTTAGGTACAATGCAAGAAGTCAAAACATCACACAAATCAGGTCATTGTTGTTTTTTTTTTTTTACAGGAGAGAGAGGGTTGGTGAGGTTTGAACTCGCGACTTAATGGTCCAACAATGAGTTGCGAAGTCATTAGACCACCTCTGATCCTCAACAATTAATTGTCATTACATTAATAGTGAATCTACGTAATAAATGACATCTACTATTAATCCAATGACAACAGTGAATTAGAACTTAATAGCATAACTTGTGCCTCCAGCAAACAACATGCCAAGAGTTTTGGTACAATACTAGAAGTCAAGCAACACATAAATCAGTATATACAAAAATTACACTGTTAATTCACTCACTAAATAGCTAAGACCCCTTAATTAGAAACCATAATTAATGACCCAATTATTCAACTTCTACTTATCCCAGGATTAAAATATCCTACTGAAAATAGGGTCCCAGTAAAATTGTATAACAAGCTGATCAAATCCAGGATTGGATGGGATAATTGCATTTGAAGGAATTCACACCACTGATATGAGCAAAGATATCTGCTGAATCAACCATGTCTTCTCCTTCTTTCACCACCACCTGTTAGGAGATCAAACAAGGAGAGAGAAAAGAAACAATTTTAAGCAATTTTTGGGCAAATCCATGCCATTTGAAAGATGTTCTTGTTAGCTTCGGTTCCAACGTAGGTGCGATGAGGTCTTTTGTGGATAGTTGTCTGATGCTAAGGGTCAATACTCTCTAGTAGATATATTAAATGGTCTATCTGTATATCCATTTGCAGAACCGAAAAAAAGGAAAATATGTTCTTGTTTTACATCACATTGTGATTGGAAACAGGCCGGGCCTACCCAGATCACCAATCCGCAGTCTACGGGCACCCGGCCTGTTGACAGTCAACAGGCCAGGTTGGATTAGCCCACAAACCAATCTATGGCAATTGATTGCCCATTCGGTTAGTTAAAGTGGGCCTACAAATTTAACTTATCTTTTTGTCTGTCAACGGGGGCCCTACCCAACGAGCTATCGGGTGTGACAGGCAGACTACTACTAATAAAGCCACAAGTCTAATGGAACGGCCCATGGGCTTTTTTATCCATGCATGCATTCGTAATCACATCATTTGTGTTTAATCATAATTTATATATATATATATATATATATATAAAATAAAAAAGCGGTCCAATACACTAGACTCCCGCCACTGCGAGATCTAAGGATGGTCAAATGTATGCAATTTTGCCCTTGCGAGCAATGAGACTATTTCTGTGACTTAAAATCTTGACACTCAGATTAAACGATACTGCAATGTAACGGGCATCCTCATTTTTGTTCAATGATAAGCTCTATTGGAATAAAATCTTACATCTTCATCGGTGTCTTCTTCGTGGGTGCTACAAGTTGTTCTAGTGGTCTCTCCGAATTCATCGTTCTTTGCAAACCTTCCTCTAACTCGAGGCCGGCTGTCTGCTAGTGTTTTGCGGCATGCATACTGCACATTGGCTTTTGTTGTTAGTACAAGTTTAGATGTTCAATTTCATAAATAAACAAAAACATATAGATACAGTCATATATGCACATGATTACACTTGGGTAAATATTTGTTGGAATTATTACAAGTTTTGAACTATTACAGATCAAATAGAACATTAAAAAGTCAGGATAAATCAAAATATCTTAAATAGAACATTAAAAAGTCAGGATGTACCTAAATATTTCATGATCGATTCTACACAATCCTATTTGTCGTAATCTCATTGGATTGAATCGTAATGTTATCAGATTAAATTATAACTTTCAATACAACATTATTCGGTAGCTTCGGCCAAATTTAGGAGACAAATGGTGATATAGCAATGTTTTGTGTGTGTGTGTTTTGGGGGGGGTTACCTTGATTTTCTTACTGAAATTCCTCTCATTCCTTTTCTTCATGTATCTATGGATCTTCTCTTTCCTTTCTTCAACAGAGAGTTTGCCAACCTTGAATGTAGAATCCTCCAAACTTGAGATCTCAGATGCCAACGGATTTGAACTTCCACCCCCATTCACAAAATGCTGACTCTCATTACTAAGTGCCTGTTGAAGTAGTTATGGGACAACAAATGCAAACAAGAACTTACATAAGCATATTTCATTGGAGAAAAAAACAAGAAAACCTGACATGAGACGATAACAAGTGTGTTCCTTTATACAAACCAGATATTTTTGGGAACGAATCCAAAATTAATCTACTACTTACCTTTTTTCGCCGTTATAGACGAGAGTCTTGTGCATTGAGTTTTATATTTATCTGTTTACTAAAAAAAAAAAAGAAATTCAACCCACCATTTCCAAAATTGCCTCAAAAAAAATGACTACTTTTTTTTAACTCCATTTTTCTAATCTTCTTCCCCATTTTTTGATTCATTACAAAATCATCAGTTGAAATTTCAAGTTTTGTTCTACACCAAACATTCCAATTTGCTCACTAGAATCCGTTTGGTTAAGAAGAAAAAAAATGAAAGAAAATATATTTTCTTGCATGTATTTGATTATAATGAAAAATTTGCAAAAACTTTTTAAAAAATTTTCATTCTATTATTTAAAAGAAAGGAAAGTTACAATTTTTTTTATTGTCTATATTACCGTTAATTATATTAAGTTAGTCTAAGATGAGAAAATATATATTATAATTAAAAGTTTTAAAAAAATTTAAAAATTAGCTCCTAAACTAATTTTGGGATAAGCATCAGCATGAAGATCTCTATGCCAAATCATATAAATTCATACCAAGGTTTTTTTAAATTAATAACAAAAAAAAATAAAAAAGGTAAAATAAGAAGTTAGTTATAGACAATAATTTTCTTGAATTTTTTTGTGTTTTTACAAGAAAAAAAAGCTAGTTAGTTGTGAAAAAATCTAAATATGGAAGAAAATAATTTTTTCTATTATTTTTCATTATTTTCTATTTCATTCTAACCAATCACAAGAAAATTTTAAACTTTTTTTCTTTCTGTTGTTATTTTCTACCATTATCCCATTAAACAAACGGATCGAAAAGAAAATACTGGTACCTGAAACTCTCCAGAGTTAAAGACCCGAGGCAGAGGTTCTTGGGAGAAAATTCCTCCATTGTCCCCCTGAAATTCTAATTCCTGAGCTGACAGTTCAGTGCCCAAAAACAAATTTCCACCAAAAATTCCTGAATTTTCAACTGATAATGCAGTATTCAGATTGCCTGGAAGGTATGATCCCATTGCAGGGTCAAGAAGGGAACAAGAAGGAGAAGAAGAATTCAACCGCGAAAACGAAGGCATTGAAGATAAGCATTCATCTTCATAAACAGCAGGCAATGGTCTCCCCATAAGAGAAACAACAGAAGGGTCAGGAGGGTACTGTGTGATCGTGCCATCGATTAAATCAGTTGGTTGGATTTGATTATTATTATGCAATGAAGCAAGATCAAATTGGTCTTGTTGTGTACTGGTGATTCGATAATGAGGTAGAGTGAAACGCGGTGAAGGGGTGAAGTCTATTGAAGCTGAAATGTCATTTTCGATATCCTCTGGGGAGTCGAAAATTATGGAGAGGTTGTTGCTATTGTTGTTAGTGATGGTAGTGGCCGCGGTGGTGGTGGTTGTGAAGGTGGTGTTGGAATTGGTGGAGGTTGGCGTGGTGGCGGTTATGGTGTTGCCATTGTTATCAATGGTGTTTGCAAATTTGTGTATGTCTGGATTCAGGGAAAGACATGTGGGATAAGAAGAGTGTTCTTCATAGCAGCAATTTGAGTTAGAAGCAACTTCAGAGTTTTGTAGTGTTTCTGGGAATAATTCAGATTCACAGAATTCTAAAATTTGAGCACTAAGTGGGCTTGAAATTTCTTCCTGCAAAACAAAAAAAACTAACAATTAGATCATGAATGAACATGTACACCATGGTTTTTGAACAACTGTAGAGACTAACTTGAGCATAGGAAAACAAATTTTTTGTTGTTGTACGCATGACCTTTTCTCTCTGCAAAATCATTGCTTGACACGATTTGCCAATCCGAATGAAACTGATATGAAATTAAAGGGTGCAAGTTTAGTTTTAAAGGATTTACCTATTTAGGTCATGAACGGTTTGACCCACAAAGCTTATTTGATAAATGAGTTGATACAGACTCAACCTGATTATACACGACTATAAATTGATCTAGTGTGGGGTGAGTGAAATTTTATACCACATTTCTTGGACGATTAGAAATACAACATGACTTATTGACAATCCTACCTCCATGTGCCTGAAGTAATGAACTTTTCTTACATCAGATGCATAACATACTTGGGTGTGTATGTGTGAATCTATGCAGCCAATGTGACCATTCAACCTAGCAAGTTCCTCATGGAATTGTTCACACCAAGTGTTTTGCATTTAAATTTGGTAAAAAGGACACAAGTTCACCTTAGGAGGGAGGGTCTTCTTGGTGATAGATATTCTGCAAAACAGAACAAGATGTGTATTTGTGCTCCATGAGGCATGTGGGGAATAAGTTACCAAATAAACACAAAAATTCAAAGGCATTAGGAAGAAATGAAGCTCCTGGTATATTAATCGTGTGCAAGATATAGAAATGTCCCAATATTGGACAAGCAATGGGAACTTCAGAGCACTAGAAACCCATTGATTTTTGCATGTGAAGTGTTGCCACTTAATTTCTTCATTGACCTAATTGAATAAAAAGAATCAACACCAAAATAGCAATAACGTTGCCTAAGGCCCACCATTTATTTGTCTTGTTTATTGAATACGGTCTTTATTTTTCTTTCCATTATGGAGGGGTATTTATTAAAATTCAAAACACATTGCGGATTTCATAGACTCAAAATGAGTCTAAGATAACGGGTTTAAATTTTTTAGTACACTTTTTTCCGCAATAGTAGATCACACATTGTATGTTAGTGGATCCCTCCATTTATATATAACTGGTCCAATTTTAATTCATGATAAGTGATCTAACATAATAAAAAATATAATAAACATGTGTCAGAGAGGGTTGAGATCAAAATAGAAACGGGAAATCCTATATTACTCCAAATCTTTGTCCATCGAAATTAATTCATTCCTAATGTGAAGAGGTATGGGCATGTAGGTTCCATTTATGATACTTACATGAACTCTAGCTCATGTCAAAAGCGAAAGAGATTAAATCCAACAAAACAAGCACAAAATAGAAATAAGACATGATACAAAATTTAAAAAAAGGAAGAACAAAGTACAAATATTTGGAGTGTCATGTGTAGAACTTGGAACTAATGCTATGAACAATGTTTTCAAAAACAAATTTCATGCTCAAATTTAACTTTACAAGAAGAAGAAAAAGGAGATCAAATTATCGACAAATTTGTGTGACTGTAAGGAAAAGAAAGTGCGAAAATTCTAGGAAAAATTTTGTAAGCTTGAAAAAAAATACCCATGCAAGAAGCTTCAACAAGCGGATAATATTCATCGTTCAAAGGACCAAGAATAAAAAATATGTAACTACAAAAATGCATAATCGTCCACTCTAAACAGAATATATACAATATATACAAGTGAATTTCTTTTCCATTTTTTTTCGTTCATGATCATGCTTATGAAATCAAGATGAGTTCTAGGGAACCACCATTGAAAGATGCTCCGTCGGATTAACCATGTCCTGCAACATCCTTTATCCCCCCTTAGATGGAAACTTCAACCAATACCTTTCTCTCTCTAGAACACCAATGGAGAACACAAAAAACAGTTTACCCTCTCAAGAGCCTCTCTCTTGAGCTCCAAATCCATGACTGAAACCATTGAAGGAAAAAACTCCATGAAGAAGTTTAAAGGCTTAAACTTGTTTTAGATGTACAAAAAACTTAAGAGAGAGAGAGAGAGAGAGAGAGAGAGGCTATATTAAGCATGTGGGTACGTTTAAATGGTACTTCAAAGGGACAAAGTTAGTTTAGTTATATAGAGTTGAGGGGAATCCGTACAACTAGTCAACCCGACGGTAGCGGTGGGCCACGCATTGTCTCGGTGCCAGCGTGGAATTTTGGTGCTGAACTGGCAAGGAGGGTTGGAATTTCTATTTTTGAAGCTTGTGGTAACGGCCACGCAGAAATTGGGTTGACCAAGCCTCTACTATTTATTTTTATCACAACAAATTTTTTTTTCTTTTTTTTTTTAAAAAAGAGAAAATTCCTTTTTTTTTTTGAAATAATTTATTTTTAATACATAAAAAAAATTTGGTAGGGACATGATCAGAAATAGACATATTAACTAAAACAACTAACAATAATATTTTAAATAATGTGAGCTATAAATTCAAAATCCTTTAAGGTCATGCCATAAGAGATTCATCCATCAGATATGTCCTAGTCCCGGTGTGAATGACCTGTCTTTGACATTGTCAAGAAAAAAATTAGTTAAAGTGTGCATAAACTAACACGGACATTCTTCACTGTTGTACAAAAAAAAAATTGATATTAAAAGATTCCCTAAGATATGGTGATCGACCAGCAAGATTATTTAGAGATGCCTATTGACCATTTCTGTCTAAAAAGCTCAGCCATGTAGGTTTGCGTCATCCCATTGTTATCTCACTTTGGTACCCATACATTGAATTTTCAATCCAAGTAACAAAGGCAAACCATTAACATTAACTTTTGTTCCCAAAAAAGCACTGTCAATTTACCAATTAAAAACAAAGTGTGGTCAATTATGTTTTTCAAGGGCCAAGAATCTTGTATGAGTTTAGACTTTATGGTGGCATTGTTTTCTTAAAGTTATCGAACCCCCATGCACAAGACTAACTCAAAAACAAAAAATAGTAGACAATCTCTAAAAGAATACTTTTTTTTTCTCTCTTTCTCTTTTCGTGTTGTAACTAAAACCATTTCGCCATATTTTCGAAGTTGTTTTAGACTAGAAACTTTTTATGGGAGAAAACCATTAACCATTTTATAGCCCATTGTTTTCAAAATGAAATTCGCGTTAAGTGAAAGATCAAAAGAAAAAAAAATTCTAGGATTGTTTTCCAAAGAATCCCGACATTAATAAAAAAAATTCACTAGAATTTGTTTCTAAGCTAGGGTGTCCTATGAGGATTTATTCCAATGTCAAAAAATTGGGACCTTTTATGCAAATGGAAAAAAAAATTTAGCTTGTTAATGTGACAACCCTAGAATTGGCTCTGCCCCTGGTTTACCCTGTATTTTACTATAAGAATGAGATGCTCAAGTTGTTGGAAAATTTGAAAAAAATTAAGAAGGAAAGAAACAGGGAGACAAGCTTTTGATTTTCCTTAATATATACTAACGGACAGATCAATTTCAAACTCGAATATTTCCCTTGTTTCTTTCGGTGATGGTTTAAAATTGTGTTCATAGTGTAAGATTTTGCTAAATCCTAGCATAAGGGATGCAAAGTCCACAAATTACCACATTAAGCATCATCGTTTTTTTTTTTTTTGGTTGGTTAGAGTTGTCCAGATCAGTTTATGCGCACCTGAAATAATCCCTTATTTAGTCCGGTCAAAGATTCATGAGGAATAAATATATCATGGCCTGACCCAAAAAAATTGTCAAGATTCGAATTTAAGACCTCCAAGTTTACAAAAAAAAAACTATAAATTAAATTAGGGAAACCAGAATTACTGCAAACAACCATAAATTACATTAGGCAAAAAGGAATAGCAATGTTGTCAAAATTTTTGCTGCTTATTTTGGTACTGTTGAAAGCACTTATCAAGGCAATCATGCCACCTTCATTCCTCCAAAACTAACAAAAATTATATAAATACATTGCATTGCAGCATTACAAATTGCTCAATCAAGCATTCTCATGTTTTAAAATCCCTCATAGACTACCACCATGGTCCAATGATCAAGTTGAAACATAGTAGAATTCATTGTTATTCTCTCAAACAATCAAAGCATTTTAACATAGTATTAAAGTAGAAAATCTTGCTTTAACATTTCGCCACCACACTAATGACTATAATATTTGTATATGCTTGGGTAAAAAATCTTGCTCCAATACGAGAAGATTGTTCAAAGATCTTTCTATGTTTTTTTTTTCTCGGTAAGTAAGATCTTTCTATGTTACAAGAACTTAGAACTAATGTTGCGTCCATATCAACATGAGTACATATGCCTAAAATTGTGCAAATCTTGAAAAACCAGAGGGGTCATCCAATGTTGGAGAATCAAAACAGTTGATTTTGGGTACTGTTTGTGTTAGTGAAGGCTTTGTGTCCTCTATGTGCATTTGGCACACTCATGAATGCATACCCATGGTGGCTCATGGAGTGAAAGTGAATTATTAGTTCATTGAACACTTGATGGACATAATAGTACTCTGCGACCTACCACATGAGTTGGGACAAATTTTGTTACGACTTTCACTCATAACTTGCATATTTTTCTTTAATAATGGAGAATCATTTCAACCATGTGTCTTGGTGGCAGCATCTGTCATGACTAATTCGTTGTCATTGAATTGGGTCAGCTCTCCACACCCGAGCTTAAGACTTTTTCATATTTTGAATGTGGCTCCTCTTTTCCTACTTGAATGAAATAGAAATAGAAATCTTTTGTGCTAAAAAAAAAAACCATTAATTTTACTCAGTGGGGGGCTCGAACTCAAGACATATGGGTTTATGTCATTTCCATTGTTTGGACTACTGAATCTACTTGTACGAATTTGGGCAATTAAACTCTACCCAAACTAGGATCAATAGATAGTTTAGATTAATATTTGACGCTTAATACACATTTTATGGGTTTTGACACGAATTACAATGACTAAACATGAAAATACTCGATACGCGAATCACACGATACGACACAAATTGACACCCCTCGACCAATTCAAACTGAACTCCAAAGAAAACAAGCATGAGTGCATGACCACCATGGTAGCATCCCATATGGCATGTGCCTCTTACACTTCACAACAGTGCATGAGAGACTGGAAGCCTAAAAGGCTAAAACAGGACACAGATTAGGCAAGGGAACAAAACTCAGGCCAGCAAAGGGCTCCACCTTTGGCTCTAAAGCTGGCATAAAAAGACACTCCAACTCCTTGGTATTCCTCAGAAAGGCCCTATTTTCTAGGTCACTTTGCATCAACTTCCGCCTTTGAATAGTTCCTCAAAACACCTTTAGACATGGCACAGGTACCCCCTCTACATCTTCTGACAGGAGGCGCACTGCTTATGCCCCTATCGTTATAGAATCAACATGCCTCGTGCTGCCTTTGTTCAACAAAAGATGGGTCGATCTGAGGTGTAACATCTTTTGACACGACGTGTTAATTGGACACAAACTCAACAATGATACGAACAATTAGCACAAATAATAAATTGGCCACTTTAGTCTCAAACATGATTAAACCATTTTGGCATGATAAACCCATTTAATTTTTTACTATAAAAAGAGAAAAATATAATCTTTATATCTTTCATTTCCTGGTTTGAAATTGTGGTGGAATTAATTTTGCTAAGTTGTGGAGTAAGTAGATTGGTTTTTTTTTATGGGTTAATCTCACTTTGTACCTCAAAAAATACTTTAATTCTTAATTTGTACCTTCAAATATTAAAAATTCAATTTTCACCCTTAATATTATGAATTGGTAACAATGTGGACCTTGCTCAAATTGTCGTTCTGTTTTCTATCATAAATTGAAACACATGAGTTATAAGTGCTTTAACTATGAGGATAAGGTGTGTTTATTACTGCATATTTTTGTCTATGATCAATTTGAAATCGTTTTATATATCGAAAATAAAGTTTCATTAATCAAATAGAGGCTAAGTCTATCATATGCAACTCACATGAGGTGGCAACAATCTGTGAATTTATACATACAGTAATATTGGACTGACCAAATTTTAAGACTAAATTTGAAGCACAAATGACATGACAATTGATTTGGACTTCTTTGATTGATGTCATGTCATTTGGGCCCTCATAAAAACTCCAAATAATCAACTGCCATGTCATTTGAGTTCTAAATTTGGTCAAAATTTGGTCAGTGTAACATTATTCTTATACAAGCCTATGACCGAAACATTTGTAACTCATGTACTTCAATTTATGATGAAAAACTAAAAGATAGTCTGAGAAAGGTTCAAATTGCTACCAATTTAAAACATTGATGGTGAAACTTTAGATTTTTAATGTTTGAGAGTACAATTAAGAATCAAAGTATCTTTCTTGATGCAAAGTGACATCCGCCCTTTTTTTTTATTTAGAAGGAATTTTATGGGATGGATTGGTTTTATGAAAAGGATGTTGTAATACTCCATTTTCTAAATTGATAGTTTGCACTGCCATAACACAAATAAAAGAGAGAATAAAAAATAGCACGACTCAAATGAGATATGATACAACACGACACGTACCACTACCAACCACCGGACTCCCACTCCCATAGAATCAACAGGCCTCACGCCTTCGTATGTCAAAAGATAGGTTGATACCCTTCAATCCACCGACAGTTTGGAGGCAACATATATGCCATATCGATCAAGTTCCTTCTCTTAATGAGCCTTTTACCTAAACTGCTGACAGAATACTCCTTGGGGACAACTTCCTTTTAACTGGTTTTGGAAAAATTCGATAGCACGAAGGTGTTTGATGA